GAGGGTGTGGAGTGCAGAGAAAGTGACAGATCCCAGAGATGCAGGGGCGGGGCGGAGGGTGACCGCAGGGGCGGGGCGGAGGGTGACCGCTTTCTGGCCTGGAAGCCTCTCTCAGAAGCTGCTTGTCCTGAAAAACCCACCCTCACCCCACCCCGTTCCCTGGCGCCCACTGAGCTCTGCCCCAGCCCCGCCCTCTGCCCTAGATGTAATAACTTGGACAGACCCGGGCTGCGTAGCCTCTTCGTTTTAAATATATATGTTCAGTGTGCAAGGAATACAGCCACGTACAGAAGATCAGAAACTACAGCAGGATGGAAGGGGGAAGAAACACCTCTAGCCCCATCCTCTGGAGAGGCGGCTGGGGGCGGGGCGTCCTGTGAAGGTCGCTTCTTCCTCACAGAGATGCTCGTGAGGCTCCCACGTGGGCACCCGGGTGTCACAGGGTGTGACTCAGAGATTCGGGTTGGAGACAGGGCGGTGGGTGGGCGGGGAGGGCGGGGCCCCCCTGCCCGGTCTGACTTCAGCGAGTTTATTTTCTTGGGGTCTTTCCTCTCTGATCCTCGTGATCACCCCGCCTGCATAATCGACACAGTCTTGCTCACAGGCTCCGGGAGAGGGGCCGGGACAGGCGATTCTTGCCGATGGCTGGCTTGTAATTAATCATGAAAAGTAGTGACTCAGATCAGGGAAAAGCATGACTCAAGGTCCTTGGCAGAGGAAGCGGCCATTATGTTGCTCATGCAGCTCTGCTTTTGTGGAAAAAAAACAAAGTCTTTTTCTTTGCTCTTTCTCTGAGCTGCCCCGATACCGTGGGCATTGTTCGTGAAGGCAGGGACAGAACAGCCCCTGCCATTGTTCGGGCCGGTCACTGAACACGGCAAGAGCGTCCCTCTGCACCAGGGCTGAGGAAAGTGCCAGAAATACGTACTTCCTGGAGCCGGCAGAAGCGGAAGCAGAAGCAGCTCCCTGCGGCCCCAGCCCCGGGGCACAGGCCGGACCCTCCGGGCTCTGTGCGAGGCCGGTCTGCTGTGCAAACGGGGGGCACTGCCTAGACCGCGGTGTCGCCGTGAGCGGTGCTCCTGGGGGTCTTCGCTGGGGGGGCCTGTCCCTGTGG